GCTTCTCGTCCCTCGGCGAACACCAGCCTGACGCCCTTCGCCGCCGTGATCCGACCTCCTCCTGCCTCTCGTCCTCCCCCCCCCCGGCGTCGTGGAGAGACCGCAGCGTCGCAGAGAGGTCATGGCCAGAGCTCAGAGCCTCATCTCTGTTCGTGCTTTCTCGCACTGTCGAGCCAGGTCCATCCCCGAGGGGCCCGAAACGAGGCGGGCTTCGCGGAGCACGGACGTCAGGGTGCCCCCCATCCGATCCGCACAGCGCATCTGTGCACCACCGTCATGCCTGGGCCAGGGCCATCCTGGGCCCCAGAAGGCGCACAAGAACGCTCCTGGCGGGGTCAGGTGGCGCCCGCACTTCGCCGCATGGCGATGTGCAGTACCCCCTGGCGCTCGGCCAGGGTGGCGCTTGCAGAACGCCAGGGCCCAGGATGCTCCTTGGCAGGCAGGGTGGCGGTGGTGTGCAGAGGAGCGACGTGAAACAACGGGGTCGGCTTTACCGACATGGACGCGCAAGCTGCCCGCAGGAGATCGCGCGTAGGCGCCCTCGTCTCCACTGTGGCGTGCCCGCGGGCTGGCGGCCCGCGCAAGCTGCAGCGCAAGGTCGATGTGCCATCTCGCGTAAGACCCGTTTCTTGCCGTCGCCCAGGTGCTTCCTGCGAGCTCCGCGCTCCACGGTGAGCACCGGCCCAGGCATCTGGCCGCTCTAATTTTTTTTGGATCCAAAAAGGCCCCGGACATCTGGACCACTTCCCTGTGGCCAGTTTTTCGCCCCGTTTTGTTTCTTTGACGGCCCCCGCAGGCCCCGTGAGGGGCCCCGCAGGCCCAAAACGACCAAGAACCCACCGATCCAACTTTTCTGGAGCGTCGGATCTCTGGGATGGGGGCGCCAGGGCGCCACCCCCGCTAGTCGTCGGCGGCGAGCGAGGGGAGGCGGAGATGAGGAGGAGAAGGCCCTCTCTCAGAAGGCGGTGGGACTTCTCAGAAGCCCTCGCGCCTGCCGGGGAGCTTCCTGCGCCTCCGGGGCGGGCTCGGAGGAGACTTCTCGGGAGGCCGGGGGGCGGGCTTCCGAGCCCTCCGAGGAGGCCTGCCCCCTCCTCTCGCTTCACCCCCCCCCCCCAGGGCTCGCCGCCGAAGCAGCCCCGGCATCGCGCCTGCCCCTCCCCCCCATCAGCGGGCCACCCGCGCGCGTCGGGGGGCGCGGGGGGCGCCTGCCCTGCCCTCCCCCCCCTCCCGCCGTGCGCCGGCGGGCCTCGCGGGCGAGAGCGAGGGCCTCTGCAGCAGCGGCGCCTCGCCGAGAGTTGTTTTTCCTCACGGGGAGGGGCCGCCACCACCGGAATTCCATAGAAGCAGAGGCGACGATAGGGGTGAATAGCCCAGGGGAGAGCAAGGCTTCGAAAAGGCTCCCGGGCGAATGCGTGTAATGCCCGCCCCTGGGCTTTTCGCCCCTACCGTCGCAGCAGCGTCGCCTCGCCGAGAGCGTTCCTCAAGGGAAGGGGCCACCACCAGAATTCCATACAGTCGGCCCGGATTGGTAGGTCGACCCTGCCAGCTCCAGGGTACCCTTGTGTCCTGTGCCTCGCGACACGTCCCTTCTTACACTCCTATGGCGATGTGGCCCTCGGAAGGGTCTTGTGTCCTCTCGCGTGTCCTCTCCAATCAAGTCCGACTGTAGAACTCGGTTCCCGCAGGCCACCCGCCCCCTCCGAGCTGGTGGCACTCCGTCCTGGGCACTCTCCTGGGGTGGCGCGCCCGGTACGGGGGGTGGGAGCGGCCAGCCTCCCCTGGCTGGAGGTGGTGGTTCTTGCTTCTCCGGCGAGCTCCGGGGGGGGGGGGGCCAGATCGTACCGGACGGCCGCCAGAGACCAGAGTTCCCAGACCCTCTCGCGCTGTGAAAGAATCCAGACGGGAGGTTTTTTCGCAATTCTCGACCTCGCGGGGCCCCATACTGGGCCTCGGGACCATAACACGAACGACTCAGGATGAAAAACGGATCCCTGGGCAAGGGATCCAGACCTTTAAAGGTCGACGTTGCGAAACAATCACGATGTCGGGGGTCTGGGTTTGTGACCCGGAAAGCGGACGACGAAGATCATTGGGGGGACAAGCCCAGGGGGGAGATGATCGACCCCAAGTCGCCCACTGATCGCCGACACTTGGATCCGAGAGCCTACCCTGCCTAGGAGCGTGCGGAGTTGCTATCGGGGGCCTACAGCGGGTGCCTGCGTTAAGCCATCGGCCTGTCACAGGTGCCCAAAGGAACTGCATGGTCCCCCGATGGCCCTGGGGACCCACTGAAGCTCTGGGGGCATCTCAGGGCCTTCAAGTATCGACGACGGATGTGCCCCAATATTTCTTTAGCAGGGTTCCATATCGAATCGGGACGTTCGCGAGCAGAGCTGAACGGAACGCAGAAGCCGTTTCGCTGGCTAGCGAGTTCCAGCATTTGTGAGTCGGCCTTCGGAGCTGCCCAGTCGTGGGCATCTTCTTTCTTACCGCGTGCGTCCTCTGCGGGAGGAGGAGGAGGAGGAGGAGGAGGAGGAGGAGGAGGAGGAGGAGGAGGAGCTGGTTGCCACAGGCTCTCGGAGCTCTACCCGCTGCTGCAGGCGGACACGCCCTTCGCGGTGGTGCAGGCCTCGGAGCCGCTGTGGCCGTCGTCCGCGCTGGGCCAGCGCGGCCCGCGCTCGCTCGCCTGCCACGTGCTGCAGCGCACCAGGCGGCGGCAGCCGCAGGACCAGGCCCCGGGGGTTGGTGCATGCTGCTGTTTATGGCGCGACCCATGGCGACACCTATTGTTGACCTGTGTTGGAACGGCTGGCGCAAGCCATGGCGCAAGCTGAATCGCAACTCACGGCGCAAATCATCCTCGTTCCTCCCTCTTGGCCCTCTCCTCCCTCTCATCCTCCGCTCCCTTCATCTTCTCTCTTTCTCCTTTGCCTTTCGTTTTCCTGTTCAGGGGCTCCTCCAATTACACATTGCAGGGTCGGGAAAAAAAACACCCCAGAAGGGGACATGATCGAAAACGAAGGGGGCGGGTATCCAGGGTTTGGGACATGCATAATGAATGACGCCCGAGCAGAGTGGAGCGAACAGTCTCAAATGTGTGATGTGTTTGTTATAAGTGTTGGAGCTGTTGCTGTTAGTGATTGATTATGCTGCTGCTGGTGTTGTTGTTGGTGCTGATGTTGGTGATGATGATGTCGTTGTTGTGGTTGTTGGTGTTGAAATGTCACTATTAAAAGCAAATTATTGTTGATCCCCCCTCCGGTGACCATTGTATATTTTCAATTGAAGTGCTTCCCCCTGGGTTCGCACCCTGCTTTCTTATCCGGGAAGATCACGGGGCTCAAACTGTGTTGTCGGCCCCGGTTTACAACAATGGCTCCCGCCTGATACTTCCTCATAAGTAATGCCAAATCGCTCTCTCGCGTGGACTTTCGTCGCAGTTTATTCAGACGATGCACCCTCGACGCTCAGGAATCACGCTCTCGCTATGGCTTTTTCTCATAATTTACTTGGAAATCGCACTATCGCTCGAGAGTTCCTCGCAATTGGTGCAGGACCCACGCTTCAGCAACCCGCCTGCTCGACCTGGCCGCCTGGGCCCGCCTTCCCGACCTGCCCGCTATGGGTCTGCCCACCCGATTTGCCCGTCTGGTTCTACCACTTGTTTTCTGTTCCTTGCCCCCCTCCTGCTACTTTCTCGCGTGCTCCAGTCTTCTCCTTTCCCCTTCCGCCCGTCTTCTCTTCCCTTGTTTTCGAGGCTGCACTAAGTGTACGCGGCACGTAAGGAAGATATGCCATCAAGGGGTACGATCGAAGACGACGAAGGCCGGTACCGAGGGTCTGGGATGCACGTGTTGATCAGCACGTGAACCGATATGAGCGAACAGTCTTAACATGATTAAAGTGTTGCTGTTGTTGTTGGGTGTGATCAGTAATACTTGGTGGACCCCCCAGTCGCCTTAGCGCTCTCGCGTCGGCGCCGGCTACATATTCATTGAACATGAGGCTCATGCTCGAGCGTATTTGGGGGCGCCAAAAACGGCCCCCAAACAACAACAACGCTTCCGCTCGAGACGTCCTTTTTTTACTCAGGGCCGATGCTCTTACTCGCCGCCGAAAGCCGCCGTCCCGACAAGACCAGCGCTACCGCTCGAGACTTCCTTTCGTTTTACCTTGGACTGGCGCGCTACTTTTTTTCTCATCGGCGCCGCCCCCAGCATCAACAACGATCCCGCTCGAGACTTCCTCCCCTTTTTACTCAAGGCAGTGCTCCTCCTGGCAGCCGAAAACCGCCGTCCCGACAAAACCAGCGCTCCCGCCGGAGACTTCCTCCCGTTTTACCCTGGGCTGGCGCCCTTTTCTCGTGTGAAGTGGCGCCGCCTCCCAGCAAGAACAACGCTCCCGCTCGAGGCGTCCTTTTTTTTCCTCAGGAAGGTGCTGCTGTTCCTTGCCGCCGACAGCCCCCGTCCCGACAAAACCACGGCTCCCGCTCGAGACTTCCTCCCTTCTGACTCAAGGCGGTGTTCCTCCTCGCCGCCGACAACCGCCGTCCCAAGAAAACCAGCGCTCCCGCTCGAGACCTCGTTTGGTTTTACGCTGGACTAGCGCCTTACTCTCTTCAGAAATGAAGCCGCTCCCAGCACCAACAGCGGCCCTGCTCGAGACTTTCTCCTTTTCTATTCAGGGCCAGGCTGTTGCCTCGCCGCCGACAGCCCTCATCCCCACCAAGGCATCCCTGTCGCTCGATACTTCCTTGTGCTTTACCTTTGGCTGGGGCTCCACTGGCGGTCTCGCATCGGCGCAGCAAGGACGTAGGCATGCGTTTTCAAGGCGGGATACGTTGAAATTCCTCGGAGGAGGTGTTTGCAAGACCTCCTTGGGCGGGAGATTTGGGAATGGGGATAACGGGCCCCACTATAGAACAACAGTCCCCCATGATGGGGATGGTTCTCATGATGATCGCATGCTCCGTGTGGAAGCATCGCGCATGAGGGTTGTTATTGTTGTTGTTGTTGTTGTTGTTGTTGTTGTTGTTGTTGTTGTTGTTGTTGTTGTTGTTGTTGTCGTTCGTGCTGTTCTCAACGCATCACTTCCAAAGGCTAGTGATTGTTGACTCTCCCCTGCCCGTTGACCAATGTGTTTGTTTCATTAATGTGCTCATCCCGGGGCTCGAAACTTTTTTTGTTCAATGGAGAATGTAGGGCCACCAAACTATGCCCCTGGCCCCCAGTTCACAACAACAGCGGAGACCGCTTGATACTTCTTCACAATGCATTTCAATATCGCGCTCTCGCGCGGGATGTCCTCGCAATGTATGCAGGAATCCTTCTCGTGCGTGGGACTTCCTCGCAAAGTGTTCAAACGCCACGCCCCCGACGCTCAGGAATCGCTATATCGCTTTGGTTTCATTTGGGAATCGCGCTACCGTTCAAGACCTCCTCAGGAGTAATGCAGTACTCACGCTTCAGCAACCCGTCTGCTCGACCTGGCCGCCTGGGCCCGCCTTCCCGACCCGCCAGGTACGGGCAGGATCTACCCGCCCGATCAGCCCGTCTGGTTTTACAACCTTGTTTTCAGCTCCTAGCCCCCTCCTAAACTCGTGTTCCACTTTTCTCTTTCCGCCATTCCTTCCGTCTTTTCTCCGACAATTTTAGAGGCTGCACTCATTATGCGCGGCAGTAAAGAAGATATACCACCATGGGGTACGATCGAATATGAAGAGGGCGGGTATCCAGGGCCTGGGATATACAGCGAACAGTCTTACACTGGTTGTTGTTGTTGTTGCTGCTGTTGTTGATGTTGCTGGTGCTGCTTCGGCTGTTGATGTTGTAGTTGCTGTTGTTGTTGTTGTTGTTGCATTTGGTACTGAATTTGTTGGTGTTGCTGTTGTTGTTGGTTGCAAGCTGCGTCCCACTCCGCCGTCGCCGCCGCCCGCCGCGCGACCCACCCGCGACCCACCCCGCGCCCGCCTCCTCACTCTTACCAACACTTTCGGGGTGCTATGTGTGAGGCCGTTTCGGACAAGTTTGTTTGCATGGAGGTGGGGGGGGGGTGCGTGGCTACGCTCCAAAATGAGGTCGGACTTCATGCAAGCCTGGACTCACCGGCACGCCTCGTGTCGGCCCAGCACTGCTCGAAGAGGCGGCGGACAGAGGGGGGGGAGGGCGGGGGGAAACTACATGCCAGGAAGCTCGCCAGAGTCTAAAGCAGCATGCCAGCGAGGTTGCTTCTGTATGTATTCTTGGCGCCCGCTTGCCAATAGGAGGGCGGCGACGCGAGGCTGCCGGCGCGGGGCGCGGCTCAGCTGTTCTCGCAGCCGCGGCCTCTGCCCTTCGGGGGCGGCGCGTGACCCGGCCCTGTCCCTCCGTGGCGGCGGGGCGTCGGTCCTGGCCGCTGCCTCTTTGGAAAGAGGGGCCGCGTCGGAGGAGGACGGGGGCGGGGAGGCGGAGAGGGAGCAGGGACGGAGGAGGGGGAGGTGGAGAGGGAGCAAGGAGGAGGAGGGGGAGGAGGAGGAGGTGGAGAGGCCGTAGAGAGATAGTTGGATGAAGAGTAGCTCAGCTTCTCTTGTGTTGATTGCCCGCGTGTGTGTGTGTGTGTGTGCGTGTGTGTGTGTGTGTGTGTGTGTGTGTGTGTGTGTGTGTGTGTGTGTGTGTGTGTGTGTGTGTGTGTGTGCGTTTGTGTGTGAATGCCACTGGCGCGCATACCCTTGGTGAGTGAAGGAGGAGGGCGACGAAATATTTAGAGGAGGAGGAGGAGGAGGAGGAGGAGAAGAGGGATGTTGAATGAGGAGCAGCAGGGTGGAGGAGGAAGAGGAGGAGGAGGAGGAGGAGAAACGACAAATACGAGGAGAAGGATGACGAAATAGGAGGAGGAGGAGGAGGAGGAGGAGGAGGAGGAGGAGGAGAAGAGAAGAGAAGAGAAGAGAAGAGAAGAGAAGAGAAGAGAAGAGAAGGACGAACGAGGAGGAAAAGAGGAGGATGATGAGAAGAGGAGGAGGAGGAAGACGAGAGAAAAAGGGGAAGAAGAGGAGGGGGAGAGGGAAGACAAGGAAATGATGAACAGGCTGAGGATGCGGCGGCGGCGGGCGGCGGGAAGTGGCGGCGGGCGACGGGGCGGCGCCGGGGATTCGCCAGAGGCGGGAGGAGTTGGGAAGCTTGCGCAACAGGGTGAGCACCAGAAATGGAGGGTGTCTGGCAGGGCGAGAGTTTTCCCGAAGATGTTCTGGGAGATCGGGGGTGGGTAGGTTTCTCGAACCGACTCCTCTTCCATTCCTTTTCCTTATAGACAACTCCTCCCTATCGTGCCCCGAGGCTTGTCGAAAGGGCGATCCTGGCGTTCTTCTTTTGAGACTTCCTCACCACTTATGACCCTGAAGCTTGAACGGTGACAGCAGTTCCATAATTGGAGGGCGGGTCGTTTTCAAAACGTGTCTCTCGCCTTAGTACCGCACGCACTCGTTTATCAACATTTGCAAGAGTTTCACGGCTTGTGTGCGGGCGGTTTTCAATATGTGGCTCTCGCTTTAGCGCCGCGCACACTCGTTTGAAACATTATGAAAAGCTTCACGGGTTGATGGCGGCTCGTTTTTGGAAATGTGGCTCTCGTTCTGGCGCCGCGCGCATTCGTCTCAAGGCGGTCCGTTTTCAAAATCTGGCTCTCGTCATAGCGCCGTGTACACTCGTCGTAGACATTTGCAATGTTTTCACTGACTTCCATGGTCGACGTACCAGACATGGTGTTTTGGAAGGGTTCAGGATTGTGAGGGTGCAGCGGTTACGTCGAGTCGCGGCGTCGAAGTCCCAGGGTTGGACTTCTGGCACGATTCGGGATCGTCAAGACGCGATCAGGTTGATCCTTGGCGTTGGAGTCCCGAGAATGGTGTTCTGGTATGCGTCAGGGTCTTCAAACGGTCGTCTCCCAGCGGCCCAGCGGGGCAGTTCCCTCAGTGAAAATCAGCCCTTGTAGGGGCTTGTGAGGAGGGAGCTCGGAGGGAGGGATTATTCCAACATCGTTGATGAGTCTTGGGTATGCACTGGTCCTCCTCCTCTTCCTCCTCCTCCTCCTCCTCATCATCATCATCATCCTGCTCCTCCTCATCCTGTGCATCTTCCTCCTCCTCCTCCTCCTCCTCCCTCCTGCCCTCCCCCAGTCACAGCCGGTGGCGGCCCCGCCGCCAGACGCTCTCCTCGACGCGTAGCCGCCATTGGCGCCGGGAGGCAGCGGGACATCCAACTATACATTGCAGGCCCATGCCAATCAACACCCTGGTTGCCTTCAGGGCGCCCTGGGTTTGGGCTTCGACGGTTCTGCTTCGGAAAGCGTGACGCTCCCACACCCAGAATCAAGTGACGTGCTGGGGTCTCAGGTTTGGGTCTCTCGTGGAAGGTTTCTTGTGGTCGAGCTCCTAGTGTAGGAGGGAGGGTGTCAGGCAGGGCTAGAGCAGCAATCGCAGGCAATTTTTCTACCCCATCTCCGAGCTCGGCCCAGAAAGTTTGGCCGTTCAGAGAAAGGGGGGGACTCCGGGATACACCCCAAGGGGGCTATTCGGACGCAACCCGATCGAGGATGGACGCCCCAATTCGTAGATCCGCGGGTTGGGCCCAAAATTTTTGGTGCAGTCGAAACCCCATGAAGCCTGGGATTAGGGGTCGGCGTATCCCCCTCTTAGAGTCAAGGCCGTGCACGCCAGAGGTGCGCTGGCAAGATGATGAGACAAATCCATTCTAGTATGCTTCCGGCGGCCGGGCAAGGCCGCTCTTGGGCCTCTCATTGGACCGCCTTGGGGGCCCGTTGGCTCTTGAATCGTCTTGGGCCTATTTTTCTTACAATTTCGGGGCACTCTGGGGGGACCTCTCGCGCCGTCTTGGGGTGGGTCCTCTTGGTGCCGTCTTGGCGCGTCTGAAGCCCGAAGAACGAAAACGCCAGAAATCTCCAGACACCCTCCTCTTCCTCCTCCTCCTCCTCCGCATCCTCCTCCTCCGCCTCCTCCTCCGGAGAAGTCAATAATCTGGGTCTCTTGAGGGCCGTCTTAGGTGCGCATCGGAGCGTCTTGGCCCGTTTCGAGGCCACCTTGGGCGTCTTGGGGCAATCTTTGGGGCGATCCGGGGCGCAACTTGGACAGTCGTTGGGGCCTCTCGGGGCTCTCGGGGGTTGTTGTTGGGCCCCTGGCCTCCTAGGAGGTCACGCGGGAAACCCCCGAGAGGACCGAACAGCGCCTAGGAGCGCCCAGGAGCGCCCGGATCTCCGGGCTGTTGGCCTCCTTGAAGATGTTTGCGGTATGCGCTTTTTCGGAGTCCAAGGGGCCTGAGGACACGCCATGTCGGGCCTCGAGGCACGGAGGCATGCCCTTTCCTTACAGCCCCAGCGAAAGGATCTCGTGCATATATAGACATAGAAGCAGAGCTCATGTAGGCAAAGATGCAAAGCACATGCGCGTGACACATTCCCTTCGCGCCGTCGAGGAGCTCCTCCTCTTTCTTCTATTCCTGCTGGTGCTCTGTCTGGTCATGCTCCCACCACGACCTCTCGCAATTACCCTTCCACGATCTTCCCACGCCGCTGCCAGGACCTTACCATGACCACGCCCGGACCTTGCCCAGGACCTTGCAAGGATCCTGTGAGGCCCCCGCCAGAAACAACAGGGTCCATCAGGTCCAAAGACCCAGCAGCGCCTTGTACCAGTCGCAATCCGTTTTTATGAATCTGTTCAGATGGGCCAATTTTCGCAACGGCTGTTGCCTTCAATGTGAATCGGAAGCTCCGATTCGAATGCCCCGGCGCAGCTGGCGGCTAACAGCTTGCCACCGTCGGATGCAGCACCATGCCGGCAACGTCGTGAAATCTGCTCGTGCCCTCGCGGACCAGCGAGGTCGAAAGGGATGGTGTGATTTGATCGGGTGAGCTCTCTCCCGCCTGTCCGACAAGTGGCTCGCGACATGCTTGTCGTAATGGGCTGCGTGCGCGCATCGTTGCGATTCTTGGCAGAGGCAGCACGACAACAGTGGCCTCAGGTAGGTCTGGCTACGCTCTGGAGTGCTTGGCTTACTTTTTGGAACATTTCGTGGAGACTGGTCTGGTGCTCTGTGGGCAGTCCTTCAGAGGAGGAAGAGATACCGATACCGCTACCCTCGTCTCGTTTCCGTCTTTTTGTGCCTCCTGGGAGAGACTCGTAGCCCCCGCTGGATTTGCTTCGAAGTTGCAGTCAGAACGCACCCCAGGCGAGGTCCAGAGAGTAGCAGTATCGGTATCGACTGATTTCCCCAGTCTTGGTCTGGTCTAGGGGGGGGATCTCTGGGGCCGTCTGGGCGCTGAATCGGGCCGTCTCGTTGCCAGCTTGGGGCCCCGCGTGTGGGCCTGTTGGAGCGCCTCGAGGCCGAAAAGCGCCGAGAGCATCTGGGTAGCCATTGCCCACAGGCCGTAGGGTTCGCGGGATCGAGACGTTGAGATCTCTTCTCAAGATGCTTTGGTATGCCACACCTTCCCCGTCTCAGTCAGAGTCCGGCGCCCGGGGCCACGCTCAGTATCAGGGGAACGAGGAATGACATACACATAAAACTCGGAGGTCCGCGCGGATTTCTCGGATCGGCGCTGGGCCCCCCTCCCTGGCGCGCTCCGCGCGCCAGGGGCGGCGCCAGAGGCGCCGCCCCTGGGGGTCCAGCGCCGATCCGAGAAATCCGCGCGGACCTCCGAGTTTTATGTGTGTATGGCACCCGTTGTTCCCCTGAGTATACGAGTTCCACGTCCCAGGGAGGGAATCTTATACACCACACCCACGACCAGGACCCTCGCCAGTGCCCCGGGGCTTTTCGGTATAGAGTATGAGCTTTTCGGGCGGAAGCTCGCCCTCGGCGGAGGCTCGCGGACCGCGGCCCCGGGCTCTCGGGGGGAGATGCCCGCCACATCCCCGAGGACAGTCGGGGTCTGAGCACCCGAAGGATACAGGCCTCGGAACCAATTAGCGAACACTCATGATGCCACATTCATCTGTCAACGGCTCCCCCTCTCCCCAATGTTCAAAGTTGGCGGTGGGTCTGATGAGGTGCACTTCGACCGCAGTTTCCCCCGCGCGTGCCAACGTTGAGGTTGGGGGGGAGGGGGAGCGTTCAGTAATTGTTTCCCTCTACCGTATTACAGGATACGATGTTCGATGCGTAGCTAACCTCAAGCCCGTACGCCTATATATGGCTTGCTTCAAGAGTTTCCCGCCCACTCTGCTGGGCGACTTCTCTGGGCGAGCGTCGCCGGTTCGCGCAGGTCTGGCGGGGCGGCGGGGGGGTCGGAGCAGGGGAGGGACATGTTTCTGCCTCTGTTGCCCAGGGTGGCGCCTTCATGTGTCAGGTTTTGGCTTCC